TTTTTTTTTTACTTATAATAAAACATATTTATTAATATTCATATAATTACAAAATGCATATTCTCACAGTTTGTCGTAATAATTATTTGTTTTATTAATTGTGTTATTGCAAAATAGATAATTCATCCATTTGAATTCGAAGAAGCTTTGAAACAATTGTAATCAGTGCTGACAAATAATTACTTAATAATTATCTAAATGATTAATATAATAAAGTATAGTGATTCTGCAATTTTATGTTAAATAATGTATAAAGCAACATTCGGTGCATATTTATTTTTACATTTATTTACATATTATCCTTCAATATCTTTGTGTGTGCGCGTGTATGCGTGTGTGTGTGTATGCGTATGTGTGTATGTGTTTTATGAATATGTTATTTATATACCAACGAATTACAAAAAAAATTTTTATGAAGATTATTTTTTTATATCATTATAGATTTTGAAATGTTATTTCTGATTTTTATAAACTTGGCACTTGAATTTAATTAATTAAATTTTCAATAAAAAATTATTATGTTAAAAAAATGTTATTATCTATTTGTTTATGTAAAAATACAGAATATTAATGAATGAAAATTTAGCAAAATATAATAAAATATTATAAAATGTATTCTAGATAAACTATATTTTTAAATAGACAAGATTGAAAAATTCAATCTTGTTACATCTCAACGTTACGTACAAGAGATTTTTTACTTCAAAAATATGGTTAATAACTAATATGGTTAATATGGTATGGTAGTTTATTCAGGGTTGGCTAGATACATGAGAGTTGTCCTCCTTTCTTTGACCATGACCCACCCCGATAGCCTCCGGCTACATAGTAGCTCTCAGCCTCGTTTAAATGCTCCCCCGCGTTTGTAATTCTACCTCGCGATGCGCAACACATTCGTGTATATTGTATACGTATATACATATGAAAAAAGTTTCATATTTATTTGACAATTTCTTACAATATGTGTATATTTCGTACAGGTAAATGACGTCAAGTAGTTTTGTTGTTTTCATCATAAATCGTTAAGTAGCTTTCTTTTTTATTAGGCATTATTATTCTCTAATTTTAGAGATTGTATATCGATTGAAAAAAATGTAAGAATCAAGTAAAATAATAATTAAACGATTTAAAAAATTTAAAAAATTTATAATAATGCATATACAAGTATGGAATCGTTTAAACCTATAAAATTTAAATATCAAATTTGAAGTAATTAGGATTCCAATTTTTAAAAAATATCATACTGGTAAATCAACAGATTAAAAGTTGCAATTAAAAATTTTAAAAAATTTTGTTATTAAAAATTTTGAGATTAAATATGATTTAGATAAATTAATTTCTTATGGATTTCTTATGGATTGTGGATATAAGTATAGTTTAATTTATGAATGAATTTATGAATGTATAGTTAACATATTGATCCGCACATATACATTAATGTTATTTTATTTTTTCGATTAAATCGAATAATAATAATAATAATGATTATGATGATGATGATGATGATGATGATGATGATGATGATGATGATGATGATGATGATGATGATGATATAATTGAATTAGTGAATTGTTACTTTAG